TAGATATATAAAAAAATGTTTCGAGTAAGATGTGTGTAAAAAATGTGTGTATTTTAATCTTACAACCAAAAAATCGCCATGTATTGATTAAATAAGGGCCGAAACTATAAAGCAAATTGCTTTAGACATTGTTTGTCCTTTACTTTCTTAATAAAAGTCTAGATATAGGGTGTTTTTCAAAAGTACTGACGTGTTCCGAAATAAATTAATTATAGACCAGTATCTCTTTTGCCATTTTTTTCAAAGATTCTGGAAAAAATAATTAAAAAGAGACTTTACAGTTCTCTAAATAAGTTCCAAATTCTATCGAATAATCAGTATGGCTTTAGAGGGGAAAAATCTACTGATGATGCTATCTATAAAATAACCTCAACCGTATATGATGTATTAGAAAAAAAAAACACCTATACTTAGTATATTTCTCGACCTCTTAATAAAAAATTGTTAAACAATATGCAATTCGTGGGAAAGCATTCAGTACCTTTAAAAGTTATATATCAAATAGAGAACAGTTGGTGCAAGTTGACAATGTTAATAGTAACAGATCGTAACCTTTGGTTTTATATGACTTAAGAGTTTTGGAGGGTAGAGATAAATTATTTGAGTTTAAATTAAATTTCTGAAAACCTTAGTTCGTTGGTTAAAATAAAACCGTTACCCTACAAGGTACTGTTTTTGGGACCTGTTATTTTTACACTCTACATAAATAGCCTACTACACTTACGCTAAAATTATTAGTTTCGCTGATGATACTGTTGTTTTGAACTCTTCATCTTCATGGAAGGACCTGAAACAAAAAGTAGAAAGTGATTTTCCTAAAATATCTAAATGGCTACAGTTTAATAAATTAACATTAAATTCTCATGAAACTAAATACTTGCCATTTTCTTCTTATGCGACAGACCTTCCCACATTGCGTTCACTAAATGTGGGATTATATAACGAAGTTTGTGAATCTATATCAAATAAATGTTTTTACCAAAATTTAGATATCTATGTGACTTTTTAAACATACACTGCTTGAAGCCTCTTTATTTTTCTTTATACAATCCTTATTACTATACGGCATCATTGGTTGGGGAGGTGTGTATGATTGATAACAGATTGAACGATGTTCATGTAATACATTTGTATTTTAAGAATAATTTACAAAAAAATATTTTATACCCCATTAACGCACTTTAACGAAGATTCTAATATATTGTTTGATAATATGAGACAGCTATACTTTTTACAAATATTATTATTTTTGAAGAAATCTAAAATTACGTTAATATGTCATGACCACCATCCCTATAACACACGTCGACCAGAAGCTATTTTATTTCCGCGATCAGAAAAAGTATTGGCCAAAGATGCAGTGATTACCTGGCTCCTAAAATTTTTGTTTTGGTACCTCAAAAAATGAAGGACATTCCTTTGTTCAGTATATACAAAAATAGACTAAAAATCTGGCTTCAAAAAGAATGTAAATTAGCAAGTGATGTTATACATCAGTTTTAAAAAATGTAGTTAACTAAATCTGCCTTTTTCCTACTTCGACTATACACGATAATGATTGATCATTGAAGACTATCATAATTGTCAAAAAAAAAAACCTAAAATAATTGGTCTGTTTCTTTATTTCTATTTTTATTATTATTTGTATACCTACTAATTTTTATATTTATTTTATATTTTATAATTTTTTAAAATTTTTCTAATAATTTAAAAAATATTTAAAATCATTTTTGTTCTTTGTTGGGTTTTATAGGGACATATACAGATATCCGTTTAATATTTCATGTTTAATGCTGTGTTATGTATATGTACTGTATCACGTACAAGCAATGTCAGACTGCTTCTGTGATTGCCCCTTATTGTTTATTCTCTTTTTTAATTGTATTTTTATTGATGTATCATCATCTGAATAAACATGATTATTATTTAGTTCCTCCTTTAAACATTAAGATCTAGCTGGCTTTGCAGGAAGGTATATACACAATATGCTTAAAATAGGCCTTTTCGTCATGTATGAGCGCAAGCGCAGCCGCCATGTTAAAATAGCGCCAATTCAAAAGTTTCGTACTGTTTTTATCAACAACGGTTGGAAAAGCAATTATCTCTACATACAAATCAATCATTAGAAAAAATCGTTGATGGTGATTTACATTTTTATAACTCTGTAGAAGCACATAGTTGTGAGCAATTAAAAAGGTTCTTGAAGTGACGTGGACTTTCAGAACAAGGAAAAAAGTGTGGTGATTGAGAGGTTAGGTTTCAATACATTCAATAACTGTGTAAAAAATTAATGAAAACAAATAATAATAATTATAACTCTATTCTAATTAATTATGCCAACCAACTATTAATAATTGCAAAAACACTTTAACATGAAAGTAAATCACGAGTATAATTAATAAGATAAATTATTTAAAATTTTAAGGATCAACATGTCATTTTTAATAATATTACTGTGTATACCGAAGTAGTATTTAATATTAAAAAATATTGTGTAATACCAGACAAGGATTTTCTTCTGTTGAACCATTTTTTCCATGAAAAGGTAGTGAACAAATATAAGTATCTTTAGTAACATTATCCATCAATCGATCGAAAATCTTTATCGCTTCAACCACATTTTTTCACTCATACCTAATCATCATTTTCAATATATTTTAATATGTATTTTGCCTAATGATTTGATAATTTATGATACTGCAGGCAAGTTTTTTTATAAAATAATAATTTATACCGTGTGTCACTTTTACATACTCATAACAATACTGTTCAGTTTTTCCTTTCCGTAAAGATAATTAATTGATTGCAAAAATTGATTTTTCAATTAAGACACTTATTACTTTACTTTTTTTAATCCATTTTTTAAACGTATACACTTAAAATTAATATTTATCGATTATAATTTTTTTCACGTGGACATTTTAACATGCTTGTTTACAAAAAACAGTACGAAAAAGATGGCTGATACTGACGCATGCGCACAAATTGTGATGAAAAGGCCTATTTCCTCGAAATTATAGTATTGACAAACATTTTTTGTCGACCACAGACGCCGATTTGAACCTATATTGTAAAAAAAGTGTGCGTTAATTTTGGAACATATGTAATGTATTCGAAAAGGATAAAAAAATTATGATACATGTCAATCATTCGAAATTTAATAATTTTTCTAAAACGTGATTTTCAAGAAATATTCCTGCTTTTTAAGAAAATTATTGTGAGTGCTACTTACTGTTATTCCTCCTTTCATCTGTCGCCAAATTAAATTAATAGGTCACAAGTAGATACCTATTACAAAGTATTCTGCGAAGTGTTGGTAAGTTGTACAGGAATTTGAGAATGGCAAAACTTGGACACTTTATTATTCCGCTACTTCAATCCCTTGTAACTTTAATGAAGTTACAGAAATATAATTGACAACTCAAGTTTCGGAGTCAGTATAAGAAATAACAAAACAGTTCAGAATAATTGAGAAGACTCGTTACTAGTATAAATTGAATCAAATTCAGTCTTTATTAATTTTGTTCAAAGAAATAAATAAATGGAAAATGGAGCAAAGAAAATTAGTGTAAGTTATAATTATTGCTTTGACTATCTTTGACTATCTAAAGTCTATCTAAAGTCCGTCTAGCGTAAAATTTCAATTAAGATCTATGACAATGAAGACATTTTGAATTAAATTGATCATTTTAGGTTAAGTACCTCTATGAGATATAATTTCTAAAATCACTTCAGAAATGTGATAAGAATGAGGACGATTTAAGTGATTTTTTAAATTATTAGTTTTTATGGAAAAGTTGTAGAAACAATAACAGAATTACCATCTATTTTGGAGCCATTGCTATTTTTAATTTTATTAAAGCTGCCTTTGATCATTGCTTAAATATTAACTGTAATAAATCAAACAATGTACTATTCGGTCCTAAAAGTAAAAGACAACCTATATGTAAATCTGTAGCTTTAAAAGTTAATGATTTCCTCTTAAAATACTTGAGGCAAGTAGTTTGGAAGTCATATTAGAGAGATATTGCAAGTTCACTTAAATTATTAGCGCCGCTCTTATTTTGACATCTGAGCATGCGCAGATCATTTACGTTCTAAAACTGACTTTATTAAGGATTTTGCCTGTCCTTAATTGTGGATATTTAAGGACAGCAGATAATGGCGCTCGCCGACATTCGTATCAGTTCTAAGTTATTTAATATTAAATATTTAATATCATCGTCATCTAAACCATCTAAAACGCTACTTTCTAATGCCTCTTCCGTATTATGTATGTATTATTATAGATAACAAGAAAGATAAACTGTAATTTAAAATTTTTAAAATGAGGTTAGAAATATGTATAATGACAAAGACTCTTATGTTAAAACTTCAAGTTTGCAATAAGTCTTATTTTAGCATGGAATTTATTTGCCTTTAATTACGTTCTAGAACTGACTTTATTAAGCCTGTTCTTAATTGTGGATGTTTAAGGACAGCAGATAGTGATGACTTTACAGCTTTCGGGTGCGCTCGCTGACATTCGTATCAGTTCAAAATTTTTTAATATTAGGTTTGTTCGGGTTTTTAAAAAATACATTGAGAACTATCAGAAGACTAGTTGACCAGTGAACAGTTTAATAGTTGTACGCGACGAATAATTTGCACGACAGACAATATGAATTTCGTCAACATAGACATATTTTTCCCTTTTGAAAGCTACAATTCTGTTTTTAAACACCTTGTTTTTAATTTTGATGAAAATCGCGGGGTATCGAGTCAGACGAGTAGTATTCAGGATGGGACAACTCAATTTCCTATTTCTACCTTAGCAGAAACACTTTAAAATAAAATAAAAGTCTACGATAATAGAGGTATTTTGGAAACCACTAAATTTTAAATTGGGAGAATAAGGTTCTATTTGCAACCAAAAGTACATACCTAATTAAATAGTATAATCAAACCTATAAAAGGTCAATGTTCTTTCTAAAGTATTAATTTTTCTCACTTTTTTTCAGGGACGAATCTGTTTAATGTTGCTGCTCATGAAATAGGTCATTCTTTGGGTCTCTCGCATTCTAACGTGGACGATGCTTTGATGTACCCATGGTACAAAGAAATGGAAAATGGTTTTGATTATGAATTACCAGACGACGACAAACAGGCTATTCAAGTATTATATGGTAAGTACGACCCTATTATTATATTATATAGTAGAAACAAACGTTCGTTAAATTAGATGTCATGTACTTCATTTTAAAATAATAATAATTATGGATATACAGTACATTAACCGACGCATAGTGCAAAATAGCGATGAGACGCTTAATTCTGTTTGGACGTAAGCGGAATCATGACAACATTCCCCAAATTTCATGCCGAATTTTTCAAACCGGAAGAGTATTCTCCCGTAACTGCACTACTCTGATCCATTCTACCTAAGACACACCTTTCAACCTTACTGCATTTACTCTTTATACCAAAACATTTTAATACCATAACACTCATTCGCATGACTATAAATTTAGTTTTTTCTCTTTCATTCTCTAAATTCGTATTAATATATTTCCTAATCGCAATTTCCATATTTAGCCTTGCAATTCCATCCCCAATCAAATTTGTGTATATTTTCTTTAACTTTCGTTCTCTCTCTTTCTCCTTTTCAGGCATCTCCCGATTCTTATCTATTTTCAATCCCTACCTATTATATTTTTATAATCACTTCGTCTTCGTACCTGTTTTAATTTTATTCTCATTTCTATTTACGGTTTGACTTTTTCTTTCATATTCCCTCTATATCTGTTTACTTTTATTCTAATATCACATTTATTTTTATTTTCTATTCTATTATTACTCTCATCTGTTTTCGTTTTATTTTAATCTCATTTTTATTCTTACGTACTATCCTATTTTTTCTTTCATCTTTTGTCTGTTTTAATTTTATCTTAATTTTATTTAATTTTTTTCTAATAACTTTTTGATCCTATATGGTGTCTTTTTTTCTTTTATCTTGTTTGATATTTTCCTCTTGAATTTGTTTTGTTTTCTTTAATTTTCATTTTCTTCTTTTATTCTTCAATTTTTTTTAACATTGTGAATCTGTTTTTCATCAATTACTATTTTTTCTTTTATTCTTATGTTTATATTTGTTTCTTGTATATTTATTTCCTCTACAGTTTTATTTTTCTGTTTTTTATCTTCAATGATTCCAATTCTTCTTTTATTTCCTCCACCTTTACTCCAGTCTCATCTAGCTTCTATGCATTTTCATCCAATTACTTTACATTCTCATCTAAATTTTTCATAATCTCTTTCTTAATTGCTCGCATTTCTTTTATATTTTTCCCTAATTTCTTTCATTTTTCTTTAATTTTCTTCCATTCTCATCATTAGTATCTGAAACATGTCCTTTACATCCATTTCCTTTTAAAATCCCTTTATCTTTTTTCTTCTCGAACTTTTACTTGAATCTGATACTCTCCTCCTTGACCTATCTGTTCTGTACTTTCCATCTTCATACCATTTCTTAATTTTTTATATTTACTTTCACTAGCTCTGTCAAATTACCCCAATCTCACTCTAAACACACCATAAGAACCACTGTATTACAAAAACAAAGACACCACAAGAGTAATTGTATTACAACAACAAGGACGTCTTATTTTTGACATGTTAATTCCCTTTAAAGAAAACATTTGCTGACATTATTTAATATTATTCGTGGCTAAGGTTAGAAAAAATAGCATCATACTGTATATTTAGTAATAAACATTCATTTCATTAGTTAATATTGTCTCCATAATTGAAAGTCTTCAAAAAGTATACAGGGTGAGTCGGGAGGAGCGCACCAAACTCTAGGAGTATATTATACACGTGAAAATAATGTAAAAAAACTCATATGTTCTTATCCGATTTTCATTTGTTTTCAAGTTATAGCGTAATTAAAAATGTTCATCTAGCTTTCCACTTCTGAATTTTAACATTATCAAAGTATGCCATATGTTCAAGGCTCAAAGGCATTTGATAATTCTGACGTTTTGATGAACTGTCAGTGTACAGTGAACAGTAACTGAACGTTTAATTTCGAATTTATGTGATTGTTGCAGAAAATGTTTAGAAGTCAATGGCGGTATTTTTAAACATTTATTGAAAGAACGCTATGATTAAGAGAATTTTTATGTGTAAATTTGTTTATTTGTTAATATGCTATAACTTGAAAGCAAATGAAAATCGGATAAGAACATATAAGTTTTTTTACATTATTTTCACCCTATAGATAAATTAATATTCGTTCTAGTTTCACCGTGAATATACTCGTATTATGAAAAATATTAAAGAGAGATACTAAATTTTATAAATTTAATTTACCCATTAAAATACAGTTTAAATTTGAAAGTTATTTTGATATATTCTGATTAAAATTTTATGGAATAACGCCATTATATCCATTTTCACTATATTTGTTTTTATTATTTTGCGTCACAGATTTACGTTCAGATCGATACGCTTAAGAGTATAACACACTACCTAAATTTATCTAAAATATAAACCATTAAAAATTATAATTTTAAAGTTGTGTGATGAGTACCTAAGGTAGAAGAAAAAGTAGTTAACCCTTTTACGTTCACACCCAGAACAGAATTCGTAAACTCAAAACAACAAAAAAAAGGGTTAAACTTTATTAAATATAAATTCATGCAGTGTTGCATCGTAATATCAATAAAATTATCTACGTGTATAAAAGTTGCCAAAACAGTTTCTGCCTTTAAAGATACCTACATAAATGTACTTGGAATTTTGTGTACAAAACGTAAGCATTGCCCTTTTACAACATTCGAATTTGGAAATCATTTTCTGATGCCATGGTGTGAGGTATAAAGTCAAAGCTCTTTGAATCACAATTTCAAAAATGTGTTTGCGTTAATTTTATTCAACCGTTTTTCACAAAAATGCTTAAAAATTCCTTATCTCTAAAAATAGGGGAGGGTGGGGGATACATTATTGAGAACATTTTTACTTTTTTGGGGATATAAGTAGTAATTTTCATTTTTTTTGTTAGATTTACGTATTCTTTATAGTCTTTCATCTGATTGTACACATTTGTTTGATTATATTATTATTATAATTGTTTTTTCATGAAGAAATTTAAAAAATCTGTTTTTTCTCAAGGTAGCTCACGAAATGGGCCACTTTGATAAAAGACATAAAAACAAAAAAGAAAAAAAGATTAATTTAAAAATATTATTTAAAAATGCCTTATTTTATGTAACGAGTAAATATTTTCGAGACGAGCAGAGCGAGGTCTCGCAACATGAACGATTGCGGCTTCTCCTGCAACATAACAGAAAGACTAAACTGTCTGGTCTGCAGGTCCGACGAGAGGGAGGGGCTCACGGAGGGCGCGACAGCTTTAAAAAAATAGATTACAATATGTGGGGATGGGGGCTTGCCAGTGTTTTGCCCTAGGGCCCACCATTGCTCTCGGCGGCCCTGCTATTCTACCACTTGATGTTTTTCTGAATAGGCGACATACTACGCACGTTATTTAAAAATAATGGCGACTGTCTCATAGTAAACGTGACTCATGGTGGCCCAACGCTTAAAAAAATTTAAAAAAGGAACGCTGAGGATAAGGTATAAATTGAAAGGTAATTACCAATTCCGTTAGATAGTTTTGTACTGTACTGATAATTTGTATCGCCTCCTGGTCTAAATCTATCATCATAATTATCAACTCTACGGCATTGATATTCTCTTTTTAATTAATTGTACTTTTTCAATATTCATATTTTCAAATTGTGTCCCAGTTGTTTGGTCTTTGGTTTGCTTCAATGAACTGGAGTGGGGTAGAAAGCCAATGTGCATATTGTATCAATAGAACAAGATGTGACTCTATGGGCGCAGCCATTTTTATTGCTCATCTCACTCGGGACTATTTATAACAACCATTTTCTGTTTCACATTGTTATTGTTCAATCCACAAGCTGGTTGATCAGACAATAACACTGTGAAATAGAAAATGCTTATTACAAATACTCCCGAGTGAGATGAAAAATAACCTGTCTGCGCCCATAGAGTCGCATGTCAAGCCTATTGACAAGCATTCTACCCCACTCCAGTTCATTGATTTGCTTACACATTAAACCATCATATGCCAGTTCTTGAATCATTTATTATTTTATTTACCGATTTCTAATTGCTCTTTATAATTTATTTAGTTCGTTTTCCAGGCACAATTTTCTAAATCTATTACTAATCATGCAATATTTTCATTTCAAGGCGCTCCAGATTACCGCAGCAAATGGGCGAAAAATCCTCCTTACCTGCCTGCTTTAACAACTACCACTACGACGACGACCACAACCACCACTACCACAAGACCGAGGGTGGTTACACATCGACCAAAAAGACCGTACGATCCAAGGTATCCACCATATGGACAACATCCCCCAAATTCACCACAAAGTCCTCAAAAACCGATGAACCCGAACAAAAAACACTTTTATCCAAATGGACATCCGTATTATCCTGATTGGAAAAAAACGAATCCAAAGCCAGGTGAGTTTGAGTAATGTCCATTAATTACGTGAGATATTTTTGAGAATTTTTTGACTTCCCTCCCCCCTGGTGAGATTTCGTAAGATTTTCCTCAACTCCCTCCCCCTCTCCTAATCTCAAAATTTGTGTTTTGGGTGTAAATGCGTTGGATTAAAAAAAAAAAAAACAAAAACACAATATGTTCTATTACTTTTATTTAAGACTAGCAAAGACTAGTATTTGAGAATATTGCAGTAATTTAAAATCACAGTGATAAAAATAAATAATAAATAGTTAAACGAAAATTAAGATTTTGCCATATTTTATTCTAGAAACATTATTTTCATTAATATAAAACTTTACTTTCACGCAATTTTACACCGCTTTCTACGAGGCTTTCTACTAGAAAAAAAATTTACAAAGAGATTTAGAAAGATTTAGCTTGATCCCTTCCCCCCCTTAAATACCTCACGTAATTAATGGACGCCCCCTTAATAGTTTCGTAAATTGTCAGTTTCAGGAAGTGTTACATATATGCTAGAAATGATTTTTACTTACGTAGGTATATACACGATATTTCTTTTCCTAGTATTTCAAAATTCTTGCAAAAAATTGTTTTCAGCTTTTTTTTTAAAGAGCTTTGATAATTGATTATGTCTTGATGACCCTGTTGGTAAGAGACACACTGAACCTGCACTAGTGTGCTCTTCAATTTACTCTAGACTGATCCTGTTATTTTTCCTCAAGTCCTTCTATCCAAAAAGATAGGTCATAAGCTTAATTTTCAGTTAATATAATATACTCCATTTTTAGTTTGTATTTCTCGTTATTGTTAATAGAAAAATTCACCCAGCACTAGTTTTACTAATCCTAAAGTATTTTTGAAGAATTCAAGAAACTGAAATACTAGCCTACTCAATTTGAACATTGTGAGAAAAATGGTTGTCTTAAATCATGTTTGTTTCAGAACGAAATTATCCAGGACGAGTCTTCCCTACTAGATATCCAATTAGAACTCCCGAAACATATCCTCCCAGAACTTTTCCACCACCACAGAGAACATATCCCCCAAGAACATATCCTACGAGAACACCAGAACGAAATTATCCAAAATATCCTAATTATCCACCAACAACTCCGACGATAGAAGTAACAACCAAACCACCACCAGATACTTGCAATACGAGTTATGATGCTATTTCTGTTATTAGGCGAGACGTTTTTATTTTCAAAGATGCAGTAAGTAACCTATCTAATTTTTATTACATTAAACTTTATAGTATCAGAGCTTAAGAACTCATATTTTAAAATATGTGAATGTATTTCGTTTGACAAAGTTAATATTTGGGTATTCCAATGGTGTCCTTTAAATATTTCGTCGTTGTTATGACTATTGGTCGTATCTCATTTTTTTTTTTCAAAATTGATATAGGTTGCTTAATAGATAACTAAAACTTTATCTTTGTATGCTGGTAACATTATTTGTAATAATAAATTACTGATGGAATAAAACATAAATGTTGGAATGTCGTATTTAATATTATAACATTTGATATTTTAGCTATAAGTCATATCTCACTTTTTTTTTTTTTCAAAATTATGTAAGTTTGCTCACACTGCATGCAAAAATATATAAAGATGTAAAATTTCATATTGAGAGGTTCCCTAGAGAAGAATCCCACTATTGCAGAAAATCTTCTAAACGAGAGTACCTCTATGGAGATTTGTCATTGTCTAACATGTACGATATGTACAAGAACGAGATAGAAGAACGAGAAGTTGCTAGCTGTATGTAGTGCCTACTATAAGATTTTTAAATCATTTAATCAACCGAAAAAAGACCAGTGTAGTTTGTCCTTACATTACAGAAAGGCCGAAGATAGTGAAAAAGAAAAGCTGCAAGAACGATTTACTACTTACATAAAAGAAAAAGAAAAATGCAATAGACTCCCAAAATAATCCAAAAGTAATAAGTGTTGTTTTCGACTTGCAGCAAGTGATATATTTACCCTTGATTGCAAGGTATTCTAGGTATAAGAATAAACAAAGTAACTACAACTTTACAATTTGGGCACTAGAGACTGTAACTGTTTTGTCTGGCATAATGCTAAAAACAAGAGAAGTACCTCGGAAATATCCACGGCAGTGTATTTATTTTTACAAGGAAATGACAAAAGTGGCATTCAGACTGTGAATCTTTTTTGCGACAGCTGTGCAGGCCAGGCCAAAAATACCATTATGGTTTTAATGCTACTATATTTTATTGCAAAAAGCACTTATACAGGCTGTACCAATAAAAACTCCCAGGCCGAATATTTTGGTAAGTAATAGAGATATTTTAATTCTGTAAAAGCCAGTTCACATAGCAATAAGAGAGCTTTAGTTTTAGATATAAATTAATTTTAAATAGGTCAATATATAGATGGCGCTGCAATCAATATTTTTTTCGATGGAACGATCTTTCTTATGTAGCGCATCTTGTAAAAAATGCATTTTTAAGCAGACTTTGTTTTATGAACTAATTCAATAAATATAGCCAATTTTTGATATACAGAGTGTGTCACTCAAAACAGTTTCATTCTGTATTTCGGCATTAATCATTGTATTTGAAGAAAATGCTAAAACAAGTCGATTTTTATTCCATTGAACACATTTTCACAATGCAGACATCTGTCATGTGTCAACCCCCTCCCTTGCACTTCACCAACACCTTAATTTTAAATAGGTAATGTACCATGTATGGCACATCATTGAAAAGGTAATTTAATGGGGAATTCAGAAATATTACTGTACACTGCGTTACTTTAATTTGATCGCCCTCTAGCGGAAAAAAACTATTACATATTATAGAGTGTGACACTACAAAAAGGCAATGATGTGCCGTACATGGTACATTCCTTATTTAAAATTAAGCGGTTGGAGAAGTGAAAGGGAGGGGGTTGATAGGTGACAGATGTCTGCATTGTGAAAATGTGTTCATTTTGGAATAAAAATCGACCTGTTTTAGCATTTTCTTTAAATCTAATGATTAATGCCGAAAAACTGAAAAAAATGTTTTGAGTGACCCACTCTATATATCAAAAATGGCTAGATTTATCGAATTAGTTTATAAAACAAAATCTGCTTAAAAATGCATTTTTTACAAGATGCGCTATATAAGAGAAAGAGCCTTTCATCGAAAAAATAATATTGAGCGCAGCGCCATCTACATAATGACCTATTTAAAATTAATTTATATCTAAGATTGAAGCTCTCTTAGCGCTCTATGAACTGGCTTTTACAGAATTAAAATATCTCTATTACTTACCAAAATATCTTGCCTGGGAGTTTTTATAGGTACACCCTGTATAGACGAGATATTTTTAAGATTTTTCGAACTATATTATAGGCAGAATTATAGGGATTTTGCCCACAGTGGGATATTTTATGCCTTAAGAAAATGTGAAGAAATGTTCATAATGTCTCAACTCATACCCACAATTTGCCTCGCAAAAGAAAACATCCATGTAATGTGACCCAGCCTATTTTGACTTAAAAAATTTTAGGAAATTATCACAGGAGATTAGATTACTAAACATAAGGATTTATGATCAGAAAGAAAAAGTTAATTGGACAAAAATAAGAGAAGTAAAAATTTAAAAACAAAATTTACATAAAGTTTACTTCAAAAAATGCCATAATACCGACAAATACAGATCTTTAACTTTAAAAAGAAAAATCTGTTTGCAAAATGTCGCCTTAACACCTCTCAATTCTAGTCCAAATAAAATAGGTGCAGAAAAATATAGGTATTTAGATTCATTTTGTACATCAGATATGCCGGTTACAAGAAATATAGAACACAAAATATTTTACCAAAATTTGCTTTATGAAAACTAATTGTTGATTTTGTTAAACATAATATATTCAATTATATTTTATTGTGTTATACCGTTAATGAAATAGTTTTTATTATTACTAACTACTAATAAATGTTGAAATAAAAAATGTAGCTGGCATATTTTTTTATGGCTATTGGTCGTAACTCCAACAAACTTGTAAAAAAACATCTTTAACATCGAACAACATAAACTGCAATGTACATAGTTCCCAGAATGATCAAAGTACAATAGAAAATCAGAGGAAACAAACCAACTTACTTTAAAATTTATCAGTAATAAAGTGTTTCATTCCACGAAAAATCTTATAAAGGGCCTCCTGGATATTATTGTAAATTTGAGATACGACCAATAGCCAAAACAATGACGATTTGATTTATTAGCAGTCAGTTATATCTTTTTCCTACGACCACTTAGGAAAGTGACACATATCACACTATATAGTCCTATGGAAAGTGCCCTATGTCACACGCGTATGAATAAGAATTTACTTTCCACCCGAGTGAGAATATGTTACTTTCCGCAGTAGTTGTCACAAAATGTCAAACACCTAATTTCTATTTTGATCTATGTAATGTCCATATTAATACTAAAATCGATATGATTGTTAAATTATTGAAATTGTTGTAAATTAGATCCTAGATATTTATCTTTAACAATTATTATTAAAATAATTTTAAAATAATGTTTGCTCTTTATTCTGGTTAAATACATAACCGATTAGATCATTCAATTGACACAAGGGCTATTAGCTCAGGTGGTTAGGACGTCGAACTTAGCAACTTTGCCATTTTTCGACCGCGTTCAAATCCTGGCGAGACAAATTTTTTTTTGTTTAGAAAATATGAAAATTGAATAAATACGATTATTGTTGATTATTTTTTTAAATACTTTTTAATTATTATAGTAATAATAACCTTGGTTTTACATTTTGTTGATGACAATATTTTGTGGTCGTAGGAAAAATATTGTACATCACTTGTGTGAAAAGTGATTTTCCACACTCTTAATGTAATATACTATTTCTAATATTTATTTTCTACATCTTCTAGTATTTCTGGAGAATTGGAGACAACGGCCTAATGGATGGATATCCAGCATTGATAAGAAGGTTGTGGCATGGTTTGCCTGAAGATTTGACACACGTCGACGCTGTATACGAACGAAATGATGGTAGAATAGTGTTCTTCATCGGACAGAAATACTATGTTTTCTTTGATAACCATGTGGAAAGCGGTTACCCTAAACCTTTAACTCATTTAGGAATCCCCAGGGAAATTGATCATATTGATGGTGCTATGGTTTGGGGTCATAATGGAAAAACATATTTTTATAGCGGAAATTTATACTGGAGGTAAACAATATTGATAAAAAATATTATGTTTGCTGTATCTACTAGAAGTACTTTGAATTTTGTTTCTGAACAAATGTTTTTTGTTATAGGTTCGATGAAGATATACAAAAGGTTGAATTGGATTATCCTAGAGATATGTCCATGTGGAAAGGAGTTGGTACAGATATTGATGCTGTATTTCAGTGGAGAGATGGTAAGAATTGTTTTCTATTAAATTTTGTAGTTCATCTACATCTACAATCTATACGGAGTGGCCCAAAAGTCTGGAAACGGCCAATTATCTCGTAAATTGCTAATCCTAATTGTACAAAATTCAGGGTACACCCATTTTGGGATACGGAGATTCAAGATTTGTTATTTGCAATGTTGCCAGATTTGCCGTTTCTCTTATATTATTAGTCACTTTGGTTTTTCAAATTCATCACACTGTATATTCAGTCATTATTGGAATCTCCTATTTAATACGAGTTCAACCACATGTAACACTTATAATTTTATGTAGTCTGGAAGGTCTTAAATAAATAAAACAATCATGGAGAAATGTGGTAGACGCATTCTACCATCGATTAGGGTACTGTCAACTCACAAATGGAGCACATTTTGAATACTTGATAAAGTAACCATTATGTTAAAAATGTTATAATCTTTCAACTGTTACGTTTTAATGTAGTTGAAAATAGTTTGTATTAAAAAATTTATTGAGACAATTAGGCGTTGCCAGACTTATTTTATTTATTTAAGACCTTCCAGACTACATAAAATCATGTGTTACATATGGTTGAACTCGTATTAAATAGGAGATTCCAATAATGACTGAACATACAGGGTGGTAAATTTGAAAAACCAAAGTGACTAATAATTTAAGAGAAACGGCAAATCTGGTAACATTGCAAATGTCAAATCTGGAATCACCGTATCCCAAAATAGGTGTACCCTAAATTTTGTATAATTAGGACTAGCAATTTACGAGATAATTGGCCATTTCCAGACTTTTGGGCCACTCTGTATACCTAAGTGCTTAGCAAAAATCTTTTTAAATGTAATGCTAAAGCATACTTGCCTCTTACATATAAAGAGTGCAAATAAGTTTCAAATAAAAGTTACAATGGATTGGAAAAAGACATATTAAAGAATGATGCACACCCCAAATTAAATTATCATAATTTAGGTAGGTTTAGGTATAACGATTTCAAAATTGTTTAAAATACTAAATTATAAGATACCAAGCTAAACGTATAGTGGTTAAAGAACTGGGTTATTTTATACAGAGTAAAATAAAACATGTCTAAAATATGCCTAATTTTAAGTTCAGTTAACTTAATTTTTTCAAATACAACACTCTATATATTTTAGCATAAAATTCTTTATAAATGTACCTACCCAACGATAGCAACATATACAGGGTTTGACCATTTTCAACAAATATTCCTAAATATACAGGGTGATTCATAAACTAGGGGCTGACCAAACTTACACCCTGTAGGTAATTATACATATTTGATTGTTTTCACATTGTAATAGACTTCATTCATTTGCTATATTGTATATCCTGTATATACCACCAATTAATTAATTTCTTTAATTTTAATTTTTTTGCATTCCTTATACCAAAACACATTTTTGTGATTTTGTGAGAACAGAAATTCATTCATTATTTTTGAAAAATGGGTTAACAAAAAGTTTAGGCGTTTGTTTTCTTGTTTTTGTCATACAGTTTTACCTTTACCTTTAATTAGAGGAATTCTCGACGGAGTTCTTCTATTAATTTTAGCCTCTTTAACTGAGAATTCATTAAAACAATATAGCCAATGTGGGGGTCGTTTTGGTTAAAAAATAACTATAATTCGTTTGAATACAATTAATAAGAATACTTTAATAATTTTCAGAAATACAAAAATCTAAGCTATAATTTTCTTCACTAAAGACACAGATCATCACTATCAATAGTTTTAAATTTAAATAAAGATGATGCAATTCTAAAGAGATTTTTTAAAGGTATATATTATAATCCTAATCCTTCATAGACAAAACATCAAACCACTTTGGAAAATGACACCAGAAATTTTAAGTTACAAACTATAGTTACTTTATGGCATTAATTTCTGCCCATAGAATGCAGATTATATGAAAGATTTTGATAGGAAATATTGATAAAAAGGGGGATGGAGACATAGAAATACGAATATGAGAAAAATTTAAACATCTGGGATTAAAAAATATCAGCTTTTACTGAAATTTCCAGAATTTAAAGAACTTAGTCTATGTGTGTAAAATACTACTTAAAAACAACTAATAAACTTAGACAACAAACAAAAGATAAACTATTTCTAACGTGGAAAAGGCATACACCACGGTGCCTCTTCTGAGACACTATGTGGATGGGTAAAAAAATTAAAATATAAGAGCGACATATATATCAAATTTTTCTAGATATAGTACATGCTAACACATCTGCATCATTAAAGAGCAGGTGTAAATATAGACGGTATTCGAGCCACAGCAGTCTGGACTTAAAGATCTGACATTTTCACAAAATTTTACAGCAAACTGTCAAACAACCAAAAATTTATTTGCTACCACATTGGTCTCTAAAAGCTACCTAGTTATAAATTATTACTATTAATTAGTTATTTATTAATATAGCAGTTTTCCTTTTTTATTTTCGAGAATTATTATTGTTTAGTTTGAATGAGTATCTGTCGTATTAAAGTGAAAAATTCAAATTATAAGATTGGTACATCCTACAGGGTGTAATAATCATATAGGACAACTGCGAAGAATAATTAACGGATTGATTGACTTACCTGTAAGAATGATCGATCCGACTTATTCGAGCTGTTGTCCGTAATGATTGTTACGTCCCATCCTTATCCTTATCCCATCTCAATCTAATAAATCAAATAATGCAATGAATCACTCATATACCGCAGGTGGTTGTATAGAAATTGTTTTATCTTGATAGTTTTTTGTACTCATCCGTATGAGTCATGCATACTATTCTATCTACTACTCTGTCTATCTATCTGTCTGTATGCCTATCTATCTGTCTGTCTGCCTATCTATCTATCTATCTATCTATCTATCTATATTTTTGTACTCATTAGTATGAGTCATGCATACTATTCTATCTACTACACTGTCTGTGTATCTGTCTTTCTATTTGTCTATCTGTCTTTATGTCTGTCTGTCTCTCTATCTATCTATCTATCTATCTATCTATCTATCTATATATCTATCTATCTATCTATCTATCTATCTATCTATCTATCTATCTATATATCTATCTATCTATCTATCTGTCTATCTATCTATCTATCTATCTATCTATCTATCTATCTATCTATCTATCTATCTATCTATCTATCTATCTATCTATCTATCTATCTATCTATCTTTTTTTTTGAGGAGGAATCTTCTAAAGACGACTCTGTTTCTGTGAACGATAGTGTAGGATTCCAGCAGGCGCGCTAGCCTACCCACTAAACCTCCCCCTTTTCGCCACGCAGGTATCCTGGGACTATCGTTAGACATTACTTCGGAATACCGGGCTGTCCTTTTTACTTTCCTATCTGTATACAGATAAGGAAAGTATAGGAATCATGATTTTTTTCGACCTCCAGTTTTCGACGGATTTTTACGTTTTGGGGTCCCCTGAATCCGTTTGGACTATTTTCGGGATGATGTCTGTGTGTGTGTGTGTCTGTGTGTGTGTGTGTCTGTATCCACCATAACTCATGAACCGATACAAGGAAAAACACCAAATTTTAAACTTAAGCTTTATTTCAGCCCGCGGTGAACTGATTAGATTTTGGGCAGAGTCGGAACATTTAGGGGGTACTTTATTGGTGGTAATTTTTATATTTTATGAAATATATCCGTTATTTACGTTTGGAGAAGAAAATTTTTGAAATAAGAGTTACTTATAATATTATTATCTATAATTTTTGTTCTATACAAAATTTTTCTAAAATGGTCCGTATTCGAGAAATCTGAGAAAATGTAATAAAATTCAAATTTTTAGGAAAATTGTTTAAATAAAAGTTATTTGTGATATCGATCTCTATAATTTTTGTTTTTTATATGATTTTTCTAAAATGGACCGTATTGGAAAAATTGAAGGAAAAGTGCTAAATTTAAATTTTTCAGTATTTTCGTTTTCAATGAATATCTATAGAAACATGTTTCGAGTTAGATGTATGTGGAAAATGTATATATTTAGTTTATCCTTTAAACATTTATAGAGGTGCTGCAATAGGTTGTACAAAATAACCGGAAAAAGCCTATAATAACTAGATAGGAAAGTCATGTGTTGGACACATCAGATTTTTTCTTTAGTATCTGTGTGTTGTCTGTATTTCTTTATTGGAATTGCCTTTCCTCCTCTTCTTTTATTTTCATGATTAGTTTTATAAATGTATGTATTTTCTTCCAGTTTCTTACGTTTTCGGTCATTTCCCTTGTAACAGTTTTCACTTCCAATCTGTTTCCGTAGTCTATAACAAATTCTAACCGTTCTCTCTCTCATCTATTGCATACAAAGATTGTATGAGCAGGATTATAGAGCTCTCCACAGTAAAGACATATCTCATCTATCTCTTTCCCAATACGAAATGTGTATGTTCGGAAAGAACCATGTCCCGTGAAAAACTAAGTTAGGTAATACTCTGTCATTTTATGTGACATTCTAACCACGATTTGATGTCTGGGATTAATGTTTTGGTACATTGTGCCACATATCTTGTATTATCCCACTAAATATATAACTTGCTTTTGAGGAACGATCACAAGACCGTCGATCATAAAACTGATATTTTCCCTTGCTCTAGGACCTTTTATAATTACCGCCTCTGTCTTATGAGGGGCTAGGTTCAGGAAATTGTCATCCATCCACCTCTGAATTGTCCTCATCGATATATCAGCAGCTAGAGATAAATTTTCTTTGCTCTCCGATTCTACCATTGCCGCCAGATCGTCTGCGTATGCAATAGTTCTGCAATTCTCCGGTAACTTGATTTGTAGAACGCCGTCGTACAATACGTTCCAGAGGGTTGGTCCAAGGACCGAGCCCTGCGGAACCCCCATTGAGACTCGTAAGACGTTTTGTTCGTTAATTTCAATTGTCCTTCCACAAAAGTAGTTTTCAATGATGTTCACTAAATAACCACTGATGCCAAGGCCTTTCAATCTAGCTATTATTAGACTCCACTTAGCTGTGTTAAATGCATTTGTGACATTCAGCAATATAAGCACGCACCATTTCTTGTTGGATCGCATAACCGCGTTTGTCAACCACATGATGGCCTGAATTATGGACCGACCCTTGCGGAAGCCGAACTGAGTCTCTGATAGACCTCTGGTTATCTCCAGTTCCTTTCATAATCCATTCTCTGATTAATGCTTCATATAGTTTTCCCATCGAATCTAATAAACATATTTTGGCCTGTATGATGAAGCACTTTCCATGTTGTCCGTTTTAGCGTTAGGAATTAGCACCACTCTTGCACGTTTCCATTGTGGAGGAAATCGCTGGAGTTTAAAGCAAGTTATTCATTAACTTAAGCACTGTATAAGGGGCAGCCTTTACTGATTCTTTAACGGTTTCTAGTCGAATATCGTCTATACTTGCGGCTTTTCCTGCATTCAGGCTGTTACTTGCAGTTGTCAATTCATCAAGTGAGAAAGGAGTAACTTCCTGGATTACGTAGTTTCTGTCCCATATTTCATTTAGATAAAGCTCTAATATAATTTCTATTTCCCTTTCTTTACTTATGTTGTACGGCACCGCTTGTACCCTTGTCCACAGATATCCTGTTCTAATTCATTACAGAGTTCTTTCCACATTTCCCTTTTTGAGGTATTTATTAGTCTTTTTAGCTCTTTCCTAACGATGCTGTATTCCAGTTGTAGCACCTCAGTTTCGTCATCCTGGTTTCTTCTTGCTTATCTTGATCTTGTTAGCTTGCGTCTAATCGCGTTACATTGGTTTCTTTTGAACTCTATGTCACTATTCCACCAGTAGGGCATCTGTCATGTGTTAATTCTAGGCCTTAACTCACAGTTTGCTTAGCGTAACATCCTGTATATCTAAAAATATTTTTAAAAAATGCCTTCTTAAAATTCACATAATTCTTATTTGAAACTTGTTTGTGTGTCTGTAATCTTTGGTGCCATGAATATCAATGAATAATCGAAAAATAAGTTTTACCAATTATAACAAAATTTCTTTGACATAAATTAATCAAGTTAATGTCCTAAAATTCAAAAGAAGATTAATAATGTTATTCATTTTGTCAATACTTTTTCTTTTTAAACAGTGATAATAATTTTATTTTATTTATTTTTTTTTTTTTTTTTAGGTAAAACTTACTTCTTCAAAGGAAAAGGTTTCTGGAAGTTCAATGACTACTTTATGCGCGTTGAGCACCAGGAACAGAAGCTTTCAGCACCATTCTGGATGGGCTGTACGAAAAATTACATATATCACCAAAATACCAAAGAATATGATCAAACTAATATGAATTCAGAACATAACATAACAGAAGAGAAAATACCTTTTAAAGATTTTTCTAGAGCTGAGTTTTCTTCAGGATCTTCAAATAGTCTCAGCGTATTTTTGATTACAGTGGTTTTATATGTGTTTCTAGAAAGGTACCTTTAGTATTTATTTTAAACAATTTGGCAACATCAGTTTCTTGCTAAACAACATTCTTTGTTGAAGAGAATTTACAATCTTTCAATATTATGGAGGGCATACTTTTTTATCTCTTACCATAAGATCACTTAAGAGGGAATATGTTTATACATACTTTCGCTCTTCATCTTGTCAAAACCCTTCTTGTATTGAGAGATTCTCTGTCATTTTAACTTATAGTGATCCACGACAATTTTCAGAAAGAAATACCAAACTATGAAGTTTAATTTGATCATTGTGATCCTATCAATAACTTAGTAATAATAATAATAATCGGATATCGCACACATTCCAATATGGTTTGCACAAGTGTATGTGAAAACTATAGAGAGTTGGGATTAGGGCGAGAAGGAAACGAATTATATCAATGTTCCGGCCAACGTTACAACACCGTCGTAAAAGCTGGCAACGATGATATTTTCTTTTCCTGCTTGCACTTAATGCTCTCTGTAGTTTTCCCATCCACTTGGGCAAACTCTATAGGAAAACGTTCTGTGGTCGACATTGTATTTAAAATAAATTACTAATAGAGATAATAAAACTAAAGACCGATAGAAATGACGGAGTAAAGAAATGATAAAAATGGAAGATCAAATTAGAGAAATCTCGTAACAAGTTTGAATCTTAAAAATAGAAAATGTTTGTAAAAGATAATTTAAACTTGATTCCCTCTTAATAATAGTGATAAAAATAATTATGAAAGGGGCATACATTATAGAAAATATTTATTATATTTTTGCAAGATTTTGCAATAGTTCTTTTGTTTATGTTAACTTTTTATATACTATATTTGGATTTCTGAAAAAAAAAAAAAAAATTAACAAATTTTTATATTTTTAATTTCCTTTATTTACTAATTTTCTCTAATTTATTTCCTAAAACTAAACATACTACCTATTGCAGAATTTTGAAAGTTATAAAATTAATTTTTTAAGCTTCTAGCAATATCTTGATACTGCCATTTTGTCAAAAATTTAAAACGAAAATGCAATCTTTTAACTGCCAGAAGATTTTTAAAAAATATTAATAATAAAATCTTCATTGTTTAAAAGACTATTTTTTTTATAATTTGTGGATCCTTTGCAAGGTTCTACTGTGTTTAAACTGCCGAACCGCGAGGAAATATTTTTTCCGATAATCAAAACAGAAAAGCTCAAGCATGATTTTTTTATTATTGTACACCATTGTGACTTACCCTGTGCAAAAGTATCCTAATGATACAAAAAAGTTTGGTTTCAAAAACGAATTTTTCATTAAAAAAACTAGCTTATTGTTTTTGCTACTATGTTTTAAAAAACGCTGGTCTCCAACTGTAAAGTTCTTTAATAAATTAATTTCTTTGGCAAATGTATTCAGGCAAAAACTAAAGACTGAATTTACTGAAAAGTTTTAACAGACCAACTGCCAATACAATCTACGTTATCAAGATTTTGTGATATACTTTTTTTGAAATTGATTTACTATTATTTAATTTCGTTTTAAGTAGAATTTTATACTTTTATTTAAGTGACCTAGCTTTGGTAGAAACCTTTAATATTAAAATGCTTAAATTACTGTGATATAAATATATTAGTTATTTTTTTAATTGCAAAAAACACTCCACAATTTCTCAAAATTATGACCAATAATTGAAATTTGGTACTTTTAGTTTGTAGTTTTTCAAATAAATACATATTATATACATAAATGGATTTCTTTATGTAAAGAAATGCCGAATAATGAATGCTCTGTACCTCACTGAAAACTTATACATGTTGCTCTATGAAGTCTTAATACCAAAAAATATGTTCATATCTTGGAATGAAATTTTTATAGACAAGTATAACACTTTGTTTCTTAGTTTATTCTTCATGGTCCTCAGAAATATATACTACACAAAAGATGTTTTCTTTGCTGATCTAAGCAACGTCACACAGCCGTTAACTTCTTTTAACATATTTTGACCGACGTCAAACTCATCAAAGGATAAAACATGTACAACATTCTATATTATACTCTTTATTTTATAAATTTTTGAGTGTATTTTATTCTAATTTATTTATAATAATAACTCGTGGACGCAACAAGATCACATTGTTACTGAATACCTTAAAAATTGTATAAAATAAGTGGATAGGATATGCAGGCCCCAATAGGTGCCCATTGCGTTCGCCAGATCTGGTACTTTTAGACTTTTTAATGTATTATTTTTAATAATTTGAATGTCGTATAAGAGCAAGCTTGCACCATTATAAAACAGATGAAATGAGTAGGACATTCTATACCAGGGAATTGAATAAGACACTTTGATTGTGTATTAATACTAATAGCTAGTTTTGCAATTTGTAGGGTATTCAACAAACATTTAAAGATACGAGTATTAGAATTACGACTCAAGCATTGGCAAGTATCATAATGAATTACAAGTGTCTTGATAATATTTTATCTATGGCCTTAATAGCCATTAAATGTGAGTTGCATATACTATTTCTACGACCAACAAGTCATAATAAAAAAAATAAGTATTTCATTTTTAAAATTTTTGTACTTGAAACTTTATTTAATGAATTTGACGTCAATCAAAGATTAATAAGTGTGTCTGTATGGTCGTATGTGCAGGATAATTCATTATAAATTACCTAACATTTATCCTAGTTATTATCACATGTAAAAAAAATGTTTTAAATAAAAGTTGTGTGGCTATGACTGAATTTTGTTAAAATGCCATCAATAACACAGTAGCGCGCAAATTTTACGGGTTACGACAAAACACTATTTTATTAAATGAAATACCCTGTACTTATAACATTTTTGTAACGATTTTTTTCCTAATATCAAAAATCCTCATATGTAAATTCGTTTATCCCGACTGATTGATCTATCAACGCTCCACCAAAACTACTAAGTCTAGAAAGCTGAAATTTGGAACATTGGTTTATTTTATAACGTAAGCATCCGCTAAAAAAGGATTTTTGAAAATTTCAACTTTGAGCCCCCCGAACTTTGTATGTGGATATTTTTTTTAGTTTGGGTTACATTCATCATTTCTCCAAAATACATTTTTTATAAAAACAAATAAAAAACAATAGATGAAGACATGTTGCAGTTGCAAGAGCTTTGCGCCATCTAACAGTTTAGATAGCAAGTAATAGAAGCAGAATTTTATTTCAAACGAAACTGTAAATTATCTTTTCGGTATCTGTCTAAGGTTACGTAGTCAGCTTAAATTTCTTTTTTCCTTGATTTCTTCTTTAGCTGTACGGTCTCAGTTTTTCACTAGGACTATCTGAGGGCTACCAGGCTTGCTTTGAAGCGCGTGTTAGGCTATGACCGATTTTTGTAAAATAAAAACTTTTCTAAAAACGAAACACTGGCCCTGGGTAAATAGGTAAATAGGGTAAATACAAAAATAGAAGAAAAGGAAAAAGAAATTTATGCTGACGCCCAGAAATAAGGGACATAAAGATAGAAAACGCTAATAAAAAGCACATGATTAACAACGACCAGCTAGAATGCAGTTATCATCTGACCCACTGTGTGGCGCTTTTATCGACATCAAACAAATAACGGGGCGGGAAATTTAAAAACCTGTAATAATGATTGTATAAAATATTGATTGCACTTTCATGTTCTGGTAAATAAAGGTAAAAAATATTAATTACGGTAAATTATTTATTAAAAAGAATACTACAATTACAGTCTTATTACCGATTAATTATTGTAAATCTATTTACGAAAAATATTTTGTAATTTTTGATTGTTAGTTATAACTTTACCAAATTTGTTATTTTCCAATAGAGTGGCCCAATGGCGTTTCATTTTTAAAAAATTTAGAAAGCATACGATTTATTTAACCGACTTCAAAAAAGGAGGAGATTCTCAATTCGTCGCAATATATTTTTTTTTATTTTTATGTATGTTCAGCGATAATTCTTTAACACGGCGTCCGATTTTAATGATTCTTTTTTTGTTAGAAAGGGGGTACTTCAGGGATGGTCCCATATAAATTTGGTCAAAATCTAATAATTGGGTTCATGAGAAAATCCTCAAACTCTTCATTTTTTTATGTATGTTTAGCCATAATGCTTTACCACCTTGTCCGATTTATGATTCTTTTTTTTTAGTAAGGGGGCACCTCAGGGGTGGTCCCATATAAATTTGGTTAAGATGTGGTGATGGCATCTGCACGTTTTTGAAGTCGGTTTTTTTTAATTTTTAATTTCTAATACTTGTATTGTTAAATTAATGTTCGTATTGCCTAAATTGTTTTTAACATGCTTTCTATAAAAACATAAATAAAGGGATGGAATGTCACTAATAACGTTATGACTCGCTGTTGGCACCACGACAAGTACTGCACCTATAAGTATTCTTGGATAATTTTTTTGAAATGTTCGCTTGAAACTCAGTAATGGGACTTCAAATACTTTGTGACAAAAATTAGCTACTGTTTGTGTTACTTACAGCGCTAAATCTTCCTTTGGTAAATGAAGTACTACACATTGGGGTTATTAAATTTATTCATGTGGCATGTGTTACCAATGCAATATACGTGCCCCGACTGATTATTTTAATATTACAAAATTTAGATAATTATTGTGCTCAATTTCCACGCAAAAACAATCACCTTACAATATAAACCATTCATGAACTCAAAATTTGAAATATACATTCTATGATAAACATGATGACATTTTTTACAAACTTTCTACTGTCTGTCTACAAATAAAATCCTGCTGCTATTACTTGCTATGTAAACTGATGTGGCGGAAGCCTTTGCAATGACCTTGTATTCCAAGGGGTGTGGGGGTGTGGAGGAATGGGAGGTGAATTTGTATGGAGGTATCGGTTTTTTAAAATAGGAAATTCAAAAATGGGATTATTTATTTATATATTTTTTTGGATGAAGCTAAAAACCTATATAAAATACACATACACCTATGTGCGTGATTGAGTAGCTAACAATATGACGTGGCTCTCCCTCGCATTATACTCCATTGCCGCCTCGGCTGTGCCGGAATTCCCCGGCGCGGAGTAGGAATTGCTATGCAGTGAACGACAGCCGAACCTGGATGGTACTTAGCTATAGTTGGAACCGGTAGGTGGCGCTGTTGTCGAGATCCAGGTAAAGGTCAATCTGTCCACCGGGTCTAATAGTATACCATATTATGAAGGGTACAGGAGCGGACGATTAGTAAAGAATTGTTATATTTGCTGTGTAGCGTTTTTGCAGGTTTAAGATCTTGCCATGTGTTTTCTGTTCCCTTCTTCCAAGTGAATGTTTTAGTTGATTCTTTGTTTTATAAATAATTATCTTAAAATAAAAAACCTGTCAAACACCTCAAAAAAAATTCAGTGATGTTGCAAAACAAGAAGGGGTATGTCATCGTAATTAATATTCATTAAAGGTACGTTTACATCTGACATTTATGTCTGACAGTTGTTTAGTTCAGTGTAAACACACAAAATTTTCTCTCGGAGAGATATTTTTGAATGTTTACACTGGACTAAACAACTGTCAGACATAAATCTCATGCAATAAGTGTCAGATGTAAACGTACCTTAAGTAATAAACTTACAGAGCAAGTTTTTTCTTGAATAAAAGTTAAATGCATAACTGAAACTTAATCATGGGAGCACTATTTTTTGCTGAGCCAGATCAACTATACATGTTTATTTGAAGACTGACAAATGCTGTTTAACGTTTAATGAGCGAAACAGTAATGGGCCAGTGTAGAAATGTGGCTGCAAATGCACGTACAAAACGCGTAACCCATCTGCCTGCTGATCATATTCTATGAAAATGTCGAGATTGTCGAGCCAGACGTAAGTTGGCACCGATATCCCGACAGCAGCGTTGCGAGGAGAGAACAATTAATATACTTAAAATAACAAAAATACATTTTAGATTTATTTAAAAATTCTTGACGAGGTTGAGACTTCAGGTATTGTCATGGCTAAATTGGCCGTGCGTGACGAGCCGCCCTTGCGACTTACCCGCTGTAGCAATTCTCACTCTATAAGAGGAATCATTAAGCTGCAAAGGTTTGATCTGCTACTCTTGATCGATATTGCTATACTTAATAAATGATGACTCAGGTAACAGGATATATAGCTAGTGATTGATAAAATATATCCGTGACGCCGATATCGATAAGGTCCAGTTGTAGATCAGAAGTGAAGAGACATGTGGTGCGAGGGGAAGGGAAAAACTGAACGATTTGACGGCCGTACAAAATAATTTTATCAACGAATATATGTGTAAGCCGTTGTACGCCTATAATAAAAAACGTACAAAATGGAAGCCATGTTGCCACATCTAGTACAAAATACTTGATATCAAACTTAACATTTACTAGGTTTTAGAATTTAATGAAAATTATTACATCTAATTTAATGAAATTATATCTAATTTAGTTAAATTTGATAAAAATAATGATTCAACATTTTTTGGGTTCAGTTGCAATAATATAGGTTAAATTATTTTAGCTTTTTAAGATAAGTAAATAATTTTGTGAACGAAATGAGAATAATGACAACAGCGGATATTATACTCTCCTGTATCCCTTAGAATGTCTTATTCACGACAGCACGATATTTGTTTGTAGTTAAATCTCCTGTTATCTCTGCCTATAATACTCTTCAGAGATTACTTCATTTATGAATGATGATTCACATCACATAAATTGATGTACTGTTTGTCCACGCTTTCTAATTGAATTTTTTTATAAACATATTTCTGGCTGATAAAAGAAATGTTATCAAGAGATTTCAGCTTTCTACAGTGACTATTTTCGCTGGTTACATGACTTTGGAGGTTAATTTTCTTGCTCACATCTCGTAATTTTTGGTAATTTTTTTCCTCACCTACCACACAACTTTCCTCATTGTTTTCTGCTTCACTTTCCATTTTTAATAACGTTTTTCTCCTGTATAGCAAGTTTAAATTTTTATAATTTCTGACCTAACGTATTCTTTTCAACAACAATTAGTCTACCTTAAAGATATTAGGGTTTTGTCTGTAAGATGGCGTGAAAACCATAATTTCCCATTTTTATTGACAAACTCCCTTCTTCCTTGTACCCTTCATATATCTTACACCATTTATTAATTAAATGTTAAATACCTTAGTTATGAAAGTGTCGTTTGAGAAGTAAAATATTCAAAATAGTTTACAGTGAAGAAGAAAAATCGTAAATATTTACCTAAACAAAGATATTTGGGGTTTAATTACTCGGAAACGGTATAAGATACGTGTGGGTAACAAACACATGGTATATTTTTGAAATCAGAAAAAAAGGTTAATTCCATAAATTTAATAATATACAATACATTAACCGTCAAGCAAAAAGATGTGTCGCCTAATTAAAGTTGGAAGTAAGTGGTATAAAGAGAGTAATTGATTTAACCACGCCCTTTCGATAGTAATGATTAGATATTGCCGTTGTATTGCGGTCCTCAGTCAGCGACGTATTATTCTATTTCCCTCTATTTAATAGCATTGTTTTTATACCTTCTTTCTGGAATCAGGATTATAAAGTTAACGTGCTTTACAAGATATCCCATTAAAAAAACATGTTTTATTGTACTCTGGGAAATATGCACGATATAATTTTAACAAAAGTCAATCATAGCCACACTTTTATTTCAATTTTTTTTGTATATGGATGCCGTTAAACTGAAGTGGGGGTGAATTCTAGACAGTACATTCTAAAATAAACCATAGCCAATTTCCCAAATTTTTGGCTCTATTAAAAAATCTGGTATAATTTTCTAAATCGGAATGTATTAAACTGTCGCGGGCTTCATAGTGCTACCTATAAAACAGTACCATAAAAGGTAATTGTGCAATATAACCTTTTAAAATAATTTTGCGATAAGTTTTCAAGGAAATATACTGGGTGGAATGGAACGTTTTAGTTCTACATAGATATCATTTTATAACGTGTATTTTTTAGTAATATGGTTGTTTAATTTTATATTGTATAAAATTTGGTATTGTACATAAAGATATTGTATTTATGAATGATACGTAATAAATAAATAAAATAAATAAACGTTGGTGTTTTATTTAACATAATAACCTTTATTTTGACTTAAATAAACACAAACCACGGTCGGAAAATAAAAAACTATATTCAATACATTTATACATAATATACACAATAAACTATGACAAGAGTATTTCGTCAAAAATGTTAAAATCTTAAAAAGGTACATGTAAAATCCAGTCAAGTTTTTGTCATTCTTATGTTAAAAAACACCAAAACTTGTGTCTTAAAAAATCTCTACGTACCCTTAAAATATAATGTGTATAAATTTATCAATTACATAAAATATGATTAATGGTAAAATTTTTCAACTGAATGACATTTTAAAGAGAGCTACAATTCTATTGGAATCAACACTGGGAGTAAAAATTTGAGACCAGTCTCCACTAAACTGAGCTAATAAATAAGGTACCTAATTACTTTCAAAAATAATACTTTATATACAGGATGTCTTTTGCTGCAATTAAGGTTCATTATCTTATTTAATATAGATGAAGATAAAGCAAAAAAATAGGTTTTTGAAAAAAATTAGTGTGGATAATAATTATTGCGCAAGACAATGATGAACAACTGAATGGTCTAAATACTGATTTGATATTCTGAAATCCAGACTAATGTATGAAATCAAAATTATAAATCCAACAAAAATAAATAAAGAAAATATATACTCTAGACAGTCACAGGTGATTCCTTCAGTTTAGAAGAGACGTCTTTTCAATAAATTTTTGAGATTAATAAAAAAAATCCCAAAAACCTCCAATTTTAAAATTCAAAATGTGTCCAAAACTGTCCATGCGATTTACCTAAATTCGTATATTTGTATACTATTTTCAGGCACATGAGTTAAGTTCAAGGATTGGTACCTGAAAAAAAAAAAAAAAAAATTATGAATAAAAATGTTTTTAATTAAAATAAGTAGTAATTATACAGGTACAAAAATTCCAAAATTCAATTACGATTATTTCTGGAAAAGTTTACCGGTTATTAATTTATGACTATGGAAGAAAATTTCACACCAAAATAAAACTATTAAAAATAATTTTGCATATGAAATATACGAAAGTGTAATTATTTATTATAATATATATTTTGGCTCAATTTTAGTTATATGAAATAACCAAACGTAAATTTTGCCCACGATACATCATTTGTGCGTGGAAGAAGGATATATCATGGGCGAACGTTAAGGCAATAAGCAGAACAATTAACATACATGTACCAATAAGGCCTCAAAAAGTTAACAAGCAAAAACCATGGCTGACCAAAGAAATCTTTAAAGTGATTCAGCAAAAAATGAATATGTGGCACAAATATCAAACATCAAAATCTGAAGCAAACTATCGAAGGTATCAACAACAAAATAAAACCAATGCGTGCCTAGTGACGACAAGGAAAACCTATGAATAGCAAACAATTCTACATACATAAATCGCATCCTCAACTCCAAACATAACTTCAACATAATTGACAAAGCAATGCAACAGCCATTCGAAACAAAGAAATTGCAGAATACTTTGCAGAACAATTTGAAAGTGTATACATAGTATTAGATCTGGACACAATCAAATCCACACTTCATTCAGAAGGATACTCCAGTAATGAAATAAACAACATCATATTCACAGCAGAAAAAGTAGAGACTGCGATTAAATCACTAAAACCAAACTCGAGCCCAGGACTTTAAATTAAACCAGATTTTCCCATGAACTGTGTACAAGTACTGAAAGAGCCATTGTCTGACATGCTTTACAACATAATGAGCTTGGAAAAAAGCCGTGGTAACACCAATATACAAAGGAAACAAACAACATCCAGAAAACTATAGACCAATCAGTCTAACAAGTGCACTATGTAACTGTATGGAAAAAATAATAGCCAAAGAACTCACAAAATGTCTGCTAGAGAACGTTTTACCTGCGCAACAACATGGTTTTCTCCCAGGAAAATCAACATTGACAAACTTCCTAACTAGACTAAATGAGTGGACCCTAGCTGACGACAACCACGAACCGATTAATGTCATTTAACTTGATATTGAAAAAGCGTCCGACAAAGTATCAACAGAGTTTTGCTTTATAAAGTATTAGAACATTTTGGAGTTGGGGTAAACTACTGAAGTTGTTAGAGGTCTTTCTCACTGAGCGTGCTCAGGTACATGTGAATTCTTTACTTTCAAAAGAGCACAAAGTACACAGCGCTGTTCCTCAGGGATCAGTCCTAGAACCACTGCTATTCATAGCGAACTTAAGTGATTTTTACCAAGGGCTTCACACCAACAACGCTTCATTTGCTGATGATGGAAACATGCAAATTCACTGTTACATCATGCTGAATTACAAATGGACCTTAGCAACATCAAAAGGTTGATACAGGATTGGAAAATGCCTTGTTTTACATATCTGTCAAAATAATCCCAAATTCAACTATTTTTTAAACAAACGGAAATTACATCAGTAACAAAACAAAAAGACTTAGGAATCACTTTAACATCTGACCTAACATGGGGGAAACACATATCACACAAATGACCAAAAAAGGTCAGTTCAAAACTGTCTGGAATCCATACTACGTCAAAGACATAGAGCAGATAGAAAGAGTGCAAAGGCGAATAACCAGATTACCACAAAACCTAAAGATTTGCCCGATGAAGACAGGCTTGCAAGATTAGATCTAACTACTTTAAGAGACAGGAGAACCAGAGGTGATCTCAAGATATTTAAAATAATCAACATCACTATGCTTGTAATCTGAGAAACATTTACCACTTTAGTTACAAAACAAATCTGAGAGGTCATGATTAAAATCTTTCCAAAGAAAAATGCAATAAACTCCTGTGGAGAAATTTTCTTATCATTGGAATCGCCTAAGCATCAGTACCATTAATTCTACCTCCACAAATCAATTATTGCCTCGATCAGGAAATGTGAAATGCAAAAAAAACAAAAAACAACAAAAAAAACAAAGAAAAAAAAAATAAAAACAAAAACTATTATGTGATATAGTGCAATATACATCCAAACAGAAATAGGCGAAGCTTAAAATTACATTTGTTCTAATAAAAATGTCATTTTAATGAATGGCGGTACAAATGACCATTAAGATTTTATTTGATGTAAAAAACGCTGTTACTAATTTCAGAACTGTTGTTTAAAGTCCCAATGGTGAAATGTTTCTGCATTTTTGAATGTTGAAAGAATTTATTTTGCTCGTACAAAAGAATATAATCTTCAGTGCAAGAGACATTTTGCAATCTAGAATTAAAAATATATAGCTACATTAAAGGCTGATTCTCACTAAGCGCTCAGATTATACTACGCTAACGATCCGCTCACAATCAAGGATGTGAGGTAGTAGCATTCATATTTACACTCAACTGGCGCTCTTTTCCCTTAATCCCTTATTTTTTATATAATGCCATTTCAAAGTATAACTTAAAGGTACGTTTACATCTGACATTTATTACATGAGATTTATGTCTGACAGTTGTTTAGTCCAGTGTAAACACTCAAACACTCCGAGCAATTACTACTAAAGGGAGTCTTCCCCCCTTCCCCGCGCTAAATTTTGTTAGCAACATCTACTCCCACCGAGGGGGAAAATACCTCTTCTATAATTGGCTTATTTAATCAGGAGTGCGTTTAGAAACCACGCACGGCGCGTCTGGACCCTATTCTAATGTATGCGGTCAGACGCGCCGTGCGAGGTTTCTAAACGCACTCCAGTAGGCGAGTTCGGTCAGTCAGGGGCTGGAGCGGGACAAATTTTAGGGTGCTTTTAAATGACATTTAAGCGTGTTAAACTGTCACTAATCGGACTAAACCTAACGGTAAAAGGGTCGTTTGGAGTTAAAAGTGTTAAAGGAGTTAAAGGAACTTGGCAGACCGAACGCAATGAGTGTTGCCAAGTTTGACAGCGCCAGTTCTGACACTTTCTGACACATCTCAATTTCTTATTTGTATTTTACGGAAAATATTATGTATAACGTTGTAAGGGTTGTAAATGTATATTTAAGATTTATTATCTCTAATAATATGGTGAAAACATGCTTTATGTATAAAAGGCCTGTTGAAAATGCTTCTTCAAGATAAGTAAGTACAGACACAACCTAATTATCAGAGGCGGTGCATTAGGCAATCACCTTTAATTTGCAACTAAACTTTCTTATTTTCTTATCGAAAAATTAAAATTAAGAGCAAGTAAACTCCAGCTAAGTTCGTCTTCATCCGTCTCATAATGATTACAGTACAGGTTAATTACTTATTATTATTATTTTAATATCACATCTTTGTATTGTTATTTTTTTTAGGTTTGCTTTTCTTGATATGAGAAAGAAATACATGGTTCCAAAATATAGGAATTCAACAAGTGACCACCTGAATAACTTTTTATGCTAATGAACATTTTTATTACAGACCTCAGGGGTGGAAAATATTAAAGAAAAATGCAATTTCGACGAAAGAAGTATAATAATCAATCCTGTCACTACTTCTACACTATATTCATCTATCTGCTACTAAAATACTAAAACAGCAAGTAAGTAGAGAAACTTAAGTTTCTTTCAAAAATAATGTTTAAGGAAAAAGGCATAGCCATTTTTTTGTTGACACTTTTTTTTAACTAATCTAAAAGACTAATTTTGTGTATTGTTTAAATTTTAATTTTTTGTACTTAATTTGTTTTAGGTTTAAACAAAATGAACTGCTAAGATATGCATGGAATATCCCAAAAGAGCTAAGGAAGGTTTTAAAATTCTTAAGAAAACTATTCAGAGCCAAAAACATAAAATAGTCTTCCTGTCCAAAATATAAATAGGTATAAATATTTAGATATTATGAGTGATTTTTTATTCTATAAATAGAACATAATTTGCTTCTAAATCACTACCTAATGAACTATATTATTAAGTACAATACTAAACAAGAATATCACATTATTCATGTTTTTATTAATTTCCTTAAAAAACTTCCTAAAAAAATGTGAATATTTATTATTGGAGTTTACATCGTTATGCTAAAACAATACTAGAACAACTTAAATAATGCGGATTTTGACTATTATGAGTTATGCAGATCATTATGATCTGAAAAAATGTTTGTCTGGTGCAATATTCATTTTATTTAGTTTTTAAGTTAAAACCTATTAGGACATCCTAAAATGACTTTTTTCGTTTGATGTGCGATTATTCTCGTTTGATATGAAATTAATTATTCTACATTTTTGTTGGTGAAATAGGATATATTAAGATGTCTTACTGTTTTCTCTGATTATCTAAAAAGTTAGAACAATATACAAAGACTGTTATAACAAAAAAGTGATATACCTTTACTTAAACACACAATTAGTCAATTCAATTGTACGATAATTTAAAGCAGAAATCCAGAAAACTTTAAAAATGTGTTTAAATGTTTTTTTACTATAACAAGGACATAATTATTAAAAAAACTTGGCACATTAACATTGACGATAGGTTTTTATAATATATATTATACAAATCACAACGAACTACACAAAATGACATTAATAATAATTTAGCAATAAACAAGTTAAGTATAATGATGACATTAAAAGTTGAGTTTCTCGAAATAATTTTTTAAAATTGTCTCAGTACCTACCTAGTATTTTTCTAGCACAATGATATTATATGAATGTGCATTGGGTGATATCTTATATTTTAGGAATAAAATTATATATTTTTTTGCAGGTTTCTGTTAACAACGATTCCAAGAACTTTTGAAAATATTATTAAAACGGCCTTTGCAAATATAATTCTCAATTAAGAGCTTGAATACATTACACTAACATTAAATTTTTATTCTCAATAAAGTTACAGCTTCCTAAGAAGAAAGTTTAACAAGACTTACCA